ACATATCAGGCTGCATGTTCAGTTATCTAGAGATAGAACATACCGATTTGTGTCACTGGAAGGGCTAAACTGATATCTGAACATTTGAATGTATTAGTGTACTCAACCAGGGCAGATATTTTGGCTGTCACCATTTGAATGTATTAGTGTCCCTACGTGTACTCAACCAGGGCAGATATTTTGGCTGTCACCATTTGAATGTATTAGTGTCTCTACGTGTACTCAACCAGGGCAGATATTTTGGCTGTCACCATTTGAATGTATTAGTGTCCCTACGTGTACTCAACCAGGGCAGATATTTTGGCTGTCACCATTTGAATGTATTAGTGTCCCTACGTGTACTCAACCAGGGCAGATATTTTGGCTGTCACCATTTGAATGTATTAGTGTCTCTACGTGTACTCAACCAGGGCAGATATTTTGGCTGTCACCATTTGAATGTATTGGTGTCTCTGCGTGTACTCAACCAGGGCAGATATTTTAGCTGTTACCATTTGAATGTATTAGTGTCTCTATGTGTACTCAACCAGGGCAGATATTTTAGCTGTTAACATTTGAATGTATTAGTGTCCCTACGTGTACTCAACCAGGGCAGATATTTTAGCTGTTACCATTTGAATGTATTGGTGTCTCTGCGTGTACTCAACCAGGGCAGATATTTTAGCTGTTAACATTTGAATGTATTAGTGTCTCTACGTGTACTCAACCAGGGCAGATATTTTGGCTGTCACCATTTGAATGTATTGGTGTCTCTACGTGTACTCAACCAGGGCAGATATTTTAGCTGTTAACATTTGAATGTATTGGTGTCTCTACGTGTACTCAACCAGGGCAGATATTTTAGCTGTTAACATTTGAATGTATTGGTGTCCCTATGTGTACTCAACCAGGGCAGATATTTTAGCTGTTACCATTTGAACGCTAACTGGAAATATCAACAACCTCAGTTGACTGCTGCATTGTTTCAGTATATTGAGGTTGACATCTGGCAGTGTAAGGAGTTCAGATGTTTTAGACACATTAGTCCCCATGTTGGTTCCAGGGCCCCATTCTGGGTTGGAGGGGGAGGGGGTCAGAATTGAACCCACTGCCCCCAACAAGCATTTTGTAGGAGTCGACTAATTGGGAGCATCCTTTGAAGTCCAAGTGCATCTTCCTGAGAGACAAAGAACCAATAATCTGCATACAAATAAGTCAGATCTGTCAAACAGATATGCACACGACACTCACATTCTGGAACAAGACAAAAGTCAGAGCTGGACGAACAACCAGAACTTTCTGCCAAAGAAGAAGAAGAGACATACTGTCGGTGAAGACAAAGATAAATGTTCAAACCTGTTGGGAAGATGTACAAGCAAGAGTTTATACCTCAACACCATGCTCAAGTCTTCTTTTTCTTCTTCTTCTGTGGTCATCTGAATATGTCATTGCATTGTGCCGGTTTACAACATAGCTGTGATATTTGCACCTTTCGGCCGATACATGGACTGCTGCAGTCGTTTGACCTGGTTAGACTTCATGGGTCTGTGTCAAGTCAGATTTGATGCAAGATTGCTGACTGCTTGAGATGGGAGCCATAGTCACTGATACATACCAACAGGGCAGAGAATGGCCAATGATAGAATAATGATAGAACCCATATACCAGCTCAGTGATATTGTCTGTGAGCTTTTTCAGCAGATAACCTGCCACCCGATTGTTTTGTTTCAGAAACATTTGAGTTTTCATGATAAGGAAAGATTCATCAATGTGTCCCGGTGGTTCAACAATGTAAGTCTGTAGTCAGTGTTTACATTTTATATAACTGTATCTGGATTAGTTGCTGGACAGTTAACTTGTTGAAACGAATAGATAACATGAGAAACTTCATGGATATTGAGTAGCACTTATAGAAGATATAGGAAACTCTTAGAACTGAGAGGATGAAACAGGCAATTTGAGCCGTTGAATGTAATGTGCACACCTGTTTTCTACCTGTCACCTTCAGATGACACCATACAGCGAAGGAACAAGCATATGTTCACACACAGTTAGCTGGACACAATAATCAAGTGTCATCCCTAGCCAGGTCTCAGTGTTTTCAAACACATGGCTGGCCTGCAATTGGTCCAGCCTACACTGGTTACAAGGAAATGTTTGAGGAAGTAAAGGTGGCAAGCCAGATGTTGATCCACATCAGCCGTTGAGTGCCCTTTGGTCGCTACAAATACGGGAATAGCACCATAAACCCAGGATGCTATGAGACATAGAACAAGGATCTTTAATTGTATTATATTCTAACCAGGCCTCTCATCGACCTGACCCGATAACTGTGGGATATGGACAGATTTCACACCAAGCAGTTTGAAACTATTGGTTTTTTAGTGCTGTAGTTTTTATGAAATTGATGACAGATCAGATAGTTTGCCCACAAGTAGAGAATATCTTGTGATGCCATATCATACAAGGCATACACTTACAGAGAATGATGTAGAGTGTGAACAAGAACAAGATGGAAAGATAACATCAAAGAAACTCTACAACAGCATGATATGTGTGCGATCCAGGTGTGGAAACAGTAATGAGTGATTTATATTCCAGACATCGGCATCTGTGGCTTAGGTGTTGGGAATGCGCTTCGTAATGCAGGGTGCCGGGTTTGATCCCAGCTGCGGACGGGTTGTCTTGCTTTGGGTTTGACAATGGTACTGAGAACTGACTGCTCAGAAAGCAGTGGCAAACTACTGAATGTAAAATTTTCCTACAAAAAAACCACAGCATATTCCAGACTTTATTGTTTGGTCCCTGTGTAGGTTTCATGGCTCCAGTGTGGAGAACAAAGAATAGAGGGCATCTGTCGAAGAGGCAAGGAACCAACAGTCTGCATACAAATAAGCCAGATCTGTAAAATGGATATGCAATAACAACTGACATTCTGAATCAAGACACAGGTCCAGGAGTGGACGAATAACCAGAATTGTGCGCCTGAGTTTACAACCAATGAACGCTAACATTAAGAGAAAATCTCTGGTACCAGTCATAAGTGATTTGTTCCCATGACATAAACATGTTTGGAGTCAGTAATGAGTGTCTTGAAAAATAAGTATACATAACTAATCAGTAATGAGAAACAATGGTACTATTGATATATTTTCATACTACATATTCTGTGTAATTCCAATAGGTTCAACATGACAGAAGATTACGACAGTCATTGACATTACTGCCATTCGTGAGAAGCCCGCTGTATTCAGGGACCAGCTCTCATTAAACTCAGGTCTGTGTGAGCAGCAAGCAGCTTCCACACAGTGAATGATATTCCTGGCTGGTCACTTTGTTGTGGGACATTTTCTGAGGAGTATTGGACAAATGAAAATAAATACACTTTAAAACGTATCTGAAACTCGCTGTCCAGTTATGTTTATGTACGTATCCAACTCACTGTCCAGTTATGTTTATGTACGTATCAACTCACTGTCCAGTTATGTTTATGTACGTATCAACTCACTGTCCAGTTATGTTTATGTATGTATCCGACTCACTGTCCAGTTATGTTTATGTACGTATCCAACTCACTGTCCAGTTATGTTTATGTATGTATCAACTCACTGTCCAGTTATGTTTATGTATGTATCCAACTCACTGTCCAGTTATGTTTATGTATGTATCCAACTCAATGTCCAGTTATGTTTATGTATGTATCAACTCACTGTCCAGTTATGTTTATGTATGTATCCAACTCACTGTCCAGTTATGTTTATGTATGTATCCAACTCACTGTCCAGTTATGTTTATGTATGTATCCAACTCACTGTCCAGTTATGTTTTTGTATGTATCCAACTCACTGTCCAGTTATGTTTATGTATGTATCCAACTCACTGTCCAGTTATGTATATGTATGTATGTCAGCTGGTATGCTAATCCTGTAGCTGTTGGAACATTCTAGATGAATCAGTAAAAATGGACAGTAATTGGTCAGCTTTAGATGGTCACTTCCTGGAACATTTGAGGATCACCTCTTTGGGAATGAAGTCAGCTCGACTGTCATGTTTCACATAATGTCCTCTCAGATTCAGATGAAGCTTCTCTTAGTAACCATTCAGCTTGGGAGACAAATAACAGTGGCAAGAAGACATGTTAGGAGAGCAGTGAGCTTGATGAACAAATGAATGCTGTGTTTGTGCAACCCAGGTGAACAAATCTGTGGGCGACAGAAACTTAGCAGCTCCGTGATAACAACACACCCACACATTTTTTTGGGTATCTGACTGAAATTGTCATTGCCAAACACTACGTTTCTGTGGTTTAAACTACTCTCATGGCCGGCTTCTTTATGATTTGTGCTGCTGCCAAGATGGAAAAGCTGCTGAAAGTGACCTGGTTTGAACCACAAGAAAACGTTATGCACAGAAAAAAAAAACACAAATTTGTTTTCAGTCCCTTGAAATTGTTTTACCTACACAAGCGGTGAATGTGACTTTTGTATGGACACTAACCAGCACATAACTAAAGCATGTGATTGCCAGAAGAACAGAAAAACAAAGAAGACTGGCTAGTTAAATATTATAGTAATTGTAATAGTCAAACTACTTGATGCTGGACAACGGTCATGAGTATCTCAAATACAAATGTTCAACTTCATTGCATTTAGCCTGAAAGGATACAATCTCCACACAAAAGTCTTATTCCAACTGCAATCTGCTTCAGTAGCAATGGTAATTTTTAAGCATGATGGATAGTATTTTATTGATATTCTAGCTATTCACATACACTTAGCATAATGCACAATATGTTGCCAACATATTCTAGTCAAAGTATCTTAGAAATTATTGATTAACAATATTTTACTATTGTTAGACATTTATTGTTTTAAATAAACACAATATGCAGTATTTTCCAAATGTTCCAGTCAGTTTTATAAACAGAGCACACTAAATTATATTTGACTAATGTTCTAGTCAATTTCTGTCATAAAAACATCACCACAGACATCATTTGAGAAAGTGTAACAGTGTTTACGTTACATGAACGGAGAACTGCCTTGAATATCCTCATAAAGAAGACTTAAAGATTTCTTGGATTTGTCCAGCTCAGATTCCAGCTTCTGGATTTTGGTTAGAGTGGACATCAGCATCAGCATCTGCTTGTCGAGCTGCTCACTTCTGGTCACATGTAGATGGGTCATGTACACCTCTAGCATCTGACACACACGTGTTGCCTGAAGTAAAGTGATAACAGCTGTTGGCAAGGCTCGTCTTTTCTCTTGCTTCTATTCTGTCCACATGTGGGATCCAGGGCCCCATTTGAGGGGTGGGAAAAGACCCACTGCCCACCCTACAAGCAACTTGTAAAAGGCCTCTTCTTAGGGGTTTACTGAAATTGCATGTGTTGGGCAGATATTGCAGCCTAGCTGCAAATCACAAAACGCTATGCCAACCACCCTTTTAATGGTGAATGCAAATGTTCTTCTAGACTGTAGTGTATTTCTCCTTTCTGTTTCTATGTTTCCTTATCTATCTGTCTGGTCTCGATATCTTTCTATCATGCAGAATAGTATGTGTTCCTGTCTGTCCGTCACTCTGTCTCAGTTTATCTTTTTTCTGTTATGTTTTTTTCTTCTTCTTTCCTAGTCAGCAGCGGTAAACTCTAGAAGAAAGTTCTGGTTGTTCATCCACTTCTGGACTTTTAAAAATTTTGTTCCAGAACCTGAGTGTTGGTTGCAGATATGTTTTACAGATCTGGCCTATTTGTATACAGATTGTTCCTTCCTTGCCCCTCAGACAGATGCGCTCCGACTTTGAAGGATGTCCCCCAATTAGAAAACTCCTACAACATTCTTGTTGGGCTGGCTGTGGATCTATTCTCGGCGCCCCCCCCCCCCCCCCCCCATAGAACTCCCAAGGGCAGTAATATGTTTTGAATATCTACAGTTATGTTTCATACACTTATTGTTTGTTTTTAAATTTCAAGAAAGACTTGTTTAGATTTACAAAAAGATTACCAATAAAAAAGTTACTGTGTTGAAATAAGTTGAGTTGAGAACAGACATCACTGCACATTGGGCATTCCCATAAGCACTCTGTCCATCCTTAGCAGTCAGGATATAGTTTCAATTCCAGTGATACCAATAGCAGTCTGATTTAATGTCCATCCTGCATTTCCGGTGAATGTCGGCTAGATGCCCTGGTTACTGCCTGCTGTGTACACTTGGTTCTTAAGCTGCAGTATCACAGTGGCAGGTCTGGTTGCTTGGTCATAGGTATCTTTACATTAGGGCTGTACCCAATATTCGCTTCGGGCCGAATAATGGACCTAATAACTATTCGGTATTCGGCCGAATAGTTGCGGTCGGGCCGAATACGAATAGTGGTTACCTTACACCCGTTTCTGGACTGGTAGAAAATAAACATATCAAGATTTCCCACCTTGGTTCATTTTGTCAAGCGCTATCTTTATGCATCACCTACGACCGTACCAAGTGAATGTCTGTTTAGTACAGCTGGAAATACCTTCAGTGAGACAAGATGCTGCCTTTATTTTTTTTTTTTGAGAAGCTAATGCCGCTTTCATGGATTAACTAAGCTGTTAGTGACAATTTACAAGTTTAGTTACTTGTTATAGAACTAAGAATACTTTCATTCCTATGTGTTACCACAGACTGACTGACTGAAAGATGCAAAACATGAAATGTTTTTAAATGTTTACTATTCTGTACTACATTTTGTGAAGTAAAATTTCATTTTGACATTATGGATGTTTTCTTTTTAGATCTATTTTGTACACGAACGTGGAAGAATGGGCCTCACTTTGAATAGTGGGAAGACAGAAGTAATAGTGGTATCAAAGAAAATAATTATTCCTAAATGTGTAATAAAAGTCTGCATACATCCAGTTTTAACACATGGCATGGAAGTGTGTCAGCACACGAACTAATACATGCTGCAGGAGATCGCAGATTGTGGCGAGGCATAATCGCCCATGCCAGTCGACAAAGCACCTGATGATGATGATTCACTATTCGTATTCGGCCGAATAATTGTTCCAGCTATTCGTATTCGGCCGAATAGTGAAAATCACTATTCGGTTCAGCCCTACTTTAAATCCACGTGGATGCAGCTTTTTTAAAACTAACCTTGGCTTCCAGGTTAACCAGGTCCCAAATGGGTAACGCTGTGGGAACAAAAGGTAGTTGGCATGGTAGTGACCACATCCTCCATCAGTGCCAGCTGGTCTCTACAAATATAAGGTCAGCACTATATCACTCAACAACAGACAATTCACTGATTACTCTAACGACCTGACCTGGTTCATTATTTCCTTCTTGACATCTGACAGAATGTGCAGGTCATTCTCTCTCTTGTTCTTGACATCATCCAGGATCTGATTGAGAGCATCCTCGATGTGTTTCCTAGACATCAGGCTCTGCGATGTCATGTTCTCTGGCTGGGTAGACTCACTAGACTGTGCCAGGTTTGCTCCTTCTGTGTTGCCAGATACATCAGAACCATATGATGCTCTAAAGGAAAAATCATTGGAATAAATATCTCTAGAACAGAGAAACCAGAGGAAATAATTGGATTTGTTCAGCAGTGTTTACAGGTTCAGTTTTATTCTGGCAGTCACCAATAACAGTGAAAAACATGCCAGATTGGAAGTGTTTGTAAAAAAAATACAAAACATTAAGTTTAATTGAAATAATGGTTAGACCAAATATTGAGCAATTATTAGAATGCGGTCACATTGACTTTAAGATTACTATCTGAGAATCACTTATTAAGGACAGGCAGTGTGTCTTAGTCTCAGTGCTTCAGACGACTGGTGAGTGTAAGCATGACTGAATCACAAATGTTGTTGACTGGTAGGTTTAGTCTCATAAAGACGGGGTGTTTAGCTCTGTATTCTGATGTATTGATGTTATCTGATGCCTGAAATAGGTTTCTCATGCCCAGGGGACTACATATCCGATACATTCTTGCCCCAGCAGATTCCTAGACTGACAGTCCTAGCCATATAAGATTACAAGACTATGAGGGGAAACTGATCTGCTAACTTGTGATGTAGCTATAGTTGGGACATGACAAACTGATGTTGGGGAAATAGTATTTGTTAAGTACTGTACTTTCTTTTTAAACAATGAAATGACAAGGCATCAAAGAGTCAACTAAATGCTGTAAGATTTAGGACCTAATGTTTTGAGAGAAAGAGAAACAGAGGTCAGTTTATGTAGTCTGCATCATCAGTTTGAAACACAGATAATCTTTGCTACACACTACAGTAGTGTGTTGAGTGGATGCCTCCATAGCAAAGTGATAAACCACTGGCTACACTGGCAGTTTGGTGTCATAATCCTTTCTTCTGTCCGGGGGGGGGGGGGGGGGCGGTGCAGGAGCTGCGGAATTTCATGCTTTGTGTGGGCAAACAGATGCAATGCAGCAAACAGAAGTCTATTCATTGGAATCAGTCCTGCGATAAAATTGATCTTTTTATGTGTGCCTCTAAACACTCTTTAAATAACAAGAGGCTGGAGTCATTGCTACATCTATTTTCAGTAGTAATAATACTCCCACCCACCACCTCCCCCCTTCCCCATCAGTATATGGTGATCATTTTGGATAACAAAGAATAGCAGGTATGTGACCTAGTCGTCATCAGTCACAGAAAAGAATGAGCGACTTCACCATTAGACATGCATGGCAATTCTAAGGTTGTTACCACACTGTGGAGGTACTGCAGGGATCAGATTCCTACGGCTGTAAACACAGATGTAAGGGCACTCATAGATCAGCATTCACACGCAGGAGATATCATATAATCGACGTTTGCAGTTATGGCCGACAGTTCCTGCTACTGCTGTGTGTTGATGATACAAGCATGTCAAAGTGGAGCACATTTATATTGTTGCGTTTAATCATTTCAGCGACAAGTAGAATGCGGCTTGTTTGGATCAGTGATCGATCATGGCTAAATATCTCAGACCCACACATTTGTTTGTTGATTCCGGCTTGTGTTTGGAGTCGGCTAGTGAGGGTTTTTCCCAAGCCGGAGTGCATCTGCCCAAGAAGTGAGGAACCAGCAGTCTATCTGAATTTAGCCAGATCTGTAAAACCGATGTGCACGCAAAAGCCATTTTCTCGTATAAGAGTAAAGTACAGACGTGAATGAACAACGAGAACTTCTCGCTGGAATTTACAGCCAGTGAATGCGAAGAAGACTCACAGATTGTTGTCGCAAGTCTGGTCGAGGGTGTGTTCACCGTTGTCTTTCTCCTGGCTACTTGAAGTAAATGCCTCCATGGTCTGTGAGACAAGATACAAATTCATTAATTACTTCCTGTTTAGTTCACATTCATTTATGTTAAAGGTAGAGATTCACAATTGTATGCTAACAACTGATTAGAAAATATACTAGTTCAGTTGTAATGACAGCCATTATGTTGAACAGTGTCTAACGATCTTCTTGAGGAGTTACCAATGCTGCAGCTTTGGGCTTCATAATCGACAGGGGCATAAAGAACCCCTTACCCCAAACAAAAGCTAAAGAGAGTGTAAAAAAAATGAACTGAGAGCAACCGTCTCAAGAATAATTGTCTGCACTTAGCAGCAGTATGTGTATAGAAGGCGACTTGGTATGCAGCATATTTCTGGATGTTATTAGTGTGGACTGTGCCTGGCTCTGCATCCAGCAGGGTTGGGGTCGGCTAGCTTCTCTTAGGAGAGGTGAAAAGTGAAAATTAGTAGCCTGCCGATGACCCACAGTACACATAAGTCAACCTCTCCTCCCAGTGGAAAATTAGAAAGGAGATAAACGGACAGCCCCAAACGGAAAATGGACTGGAAACGTTAAAGGACGACGAGACAGAAAAACGACTTACACAGGCACATGGAACATATGTGGTATTGCCAACAAAGAGCCACAAATAGTGGATTTCATGAAAAGAAAAAATATACACGTCATGGGTCTTGCGGATACAAGAAAGAAAGGATATAATACAAAGAAATACATGAAAATTATGTTTTATTATGGAGCGGAGTACCCACTAAAGATAGGGCAAAACATGGTGTCGGATTTATACTTCATCCCGAGACAGCAAAATTAAAAACAGGAACAGAATTTATATCAGAAAGAATTATTTTAATCAAGTTGACAGAAGGAAGTAAAACTACAACGATCATTCAGATATATGCACCTTGCAACGATAGTTATTCTGAAGAAGAAAAAGAAGACTTTTACGAGAGACTTACGGACACCATCAATAATGTTAAAGAGAAAGAGGACATCATAGTAATGGGAGATTTTAATGGTAGGGTAGGTAAAAGAAGGTCACCATGGGAGAGATACCTTGGCCCATTCAGCGACACAATCACAGATTGCAATAGAAATGGAGAACACCTGTTAAACTTGTGTGCTGAACAAGATCTCTACATTACCAACACATTCTACCAACATTGCCAAAGTCAGGTTAAAACGTGGTACAAGTGGAACAACTTAGAACAAGCGTCACAAATTGATTTTATACTAGTCAGACAACGGCAGAAGAGGACGGTAAGAGACTCAAAAGCTGTCCCAAATGCGGGACTGGATTCAGACCATCGCCCAGTAGTTATGAACATATGCAACTCAAGTAGAAACAGTCTACATAAACAGAAACGTGAAGAAATCATCAACACTAAGAAGTTAGAGGAAGAGAATATCAAACATGAATTTGAACTAGAAATAACAAAGGCTTTTGCAGATATTGCCAAGGAACCAGTAAGAATTGAAGAAGAATGGGATTATTATAAATCAACCATCACGAAGATATTAAAAGACAAGTGTGGTACCAGAAAGACGGGCAAAGGCAAGAAAAAGGGTACCGCTTGGTGGAATGAAGAAGTCAAAGAAGCAGTGTCAAATAAAAAGAAGATGTTTCAAATATGGTTAAAAACAAAAGACGAACAGGATTACATTAGGTACAGACTAACTCGAAGAGACACCAAGAGAACAATAAAGAAATCCAAAGAGGAATCATGGAAAAAAGTATGGTGAACACCTAACACAGCTATGTACAGAATCACCAAGAGACTTTTATAAGAGTGTGAAAGCGATGCGATTAAGAGAAGAAAGCTTCAATCCAACATCAGTCATAAACGATAAAAATGGAAAACCATTATTCAGCCAAAAAGAAATTAAAAAAAGATGGGAGGAATATTTTAAAGAACTTTTGAACCCGTCGGGAGTACATGAAACAGCAGAATTCCATTCAAGGGCTCCAGATCATCTAGAACCACATATCCTGCGGGATGAAGTAGAGAAAGTTATCAAAACAAGTAAAAGACACAAAGCAGCTGGTATTGACGGAATAACAACAGAAGTCATCCAGGCTGGAGGGGACACTATGATCACCTGGCTGGAGAGAATTTTCAATAGAGCATGGGCAGAGAGAAAGGTACCAGTGGATTGGCAAAGATCAGTTGTAGTACCTATCTGGAAGAAAAAAGGAAACAAGAGAGAATGTGGAACTTATAGAGGAATATCTTTACTAAGTCATGTGGGGAAAATGTATGCAAAGATCTTAGAAGGTAGGATAAGAGCAAAGGTTGAACCTCTACTGAGTAAAGCACAATTCGGTTTCAGGAAAGGGCGAGGTTGCACTGATGCCATATTTGCACTAAGACAAGTCTGTGAAAAGACACTCGAATACGATAAAGAGCTGAACGTGGTCTTTGTAGATCAAGAGAAGGCATTCGACCGTGTAGACAGAGATGTGCTGTGGAGAATTCTTGACGATTACGGAGTGCAGGGTCAATTATTAGACAACATCAGAGCCCTCTATGAAAAAAGTGAAAGTGCAGTAAGAACATCTAGTGGTCTTTCTGAATGGTTCAAAGTCACAACTGGTGTCAGGCAAGGATGTGTACTGTCACCATTACTTTTTATAACATACATGGATAAGATCACTGTAGAAGCAAACCCAGACGTGTATGCTATAAACGAATTACTTTTTGCTGATGATCAAAGCATACTGTATCAAAATGAATATGATCTACAGGAACATCTGACTACTCTCAACAACAGCTGTTTACAACATAATATGAGAATCAGTACAGAAAAAACAAAAGTTATGAAGATCAGCAGAACACACAGGCCACTGAATATAAATGTTGGAAGTGCCAAAATCAAGCAAACCAAAGAGTTCAAATACTTGGGCAGTATATTTACAGAGGATGGAAGAATGGACAGAGAGATAGAAACAAGAATACAGAAAGCAAATGCTGTCACATACCAACTATCACCTCTGCTTAAACATCCAGATATAACCATGAAGACCAAAAGACAATTGATAAACACCATCTTCATTCCAACACTCTGCTACCAGTGCCAAACATGGACAATCAACAAGACCCAAGAAAGAAAAATAGAAGCCTGTGAAATGAAATGTCTAAGAAAAGCAGCGAATAAGACCAGACTAGACAGGATAAAGAATATAGACATTAGAAACACTGTCAAAACTACGCCATGTTTAGACTACATAGAACATCAAAGAATGAAATGGTTTGGACATCTAACCAGGATGAAAAATGATCAAATAACATCACAAATTTTCAACCAAAGAAGCTCAGAATATAAGGCAAGAGGAAGACCAAGGAAACGGTGGATTGACGGGGTCTCCGAAACCTGCCAAAAGCATGGCTTCAGAACATCAGATGCTGCCCGCCTTGCTTATGACAGGAACTTGCATCTCCCCACAACGCTTAGCGGCATACGTGGAAGGAAAAAGTAAAGTAAGTAAAGTATTAGTTAAAATTTAAAAAAGGTTTAAAGTAAAAGAAATGTCCGCTTAATTGCACATGGTTTTACCCGATGCGGCTAGATCTTTCTCTACACACATTGGCTAGCCACCTTTTGAGAACGATGCAAAATTTCCATAGCTCTAGCAACGATTCCTCGAGAGCGTCCAACTTTCAGATCGTGAAGCAAATGGCTTAACAACTGAGTCACTGAGTGTTCTGCTTGTACTCTTTGGTTTAACTCGACTGTAAATATTTTAATGGAACACAGTGTAAAATTTGTTAAACATTTGTGGATGCTATCTAACTGATTATAATCAGAATTTACACACCATATAAATTTGTATTGTATTCAAAATTTGGATATACATTGCCACTTCACACCTTTGGTGTGTGTGCTGCTCTTTGTGTGTGAGTATGTACTATGTGTGTGTTTTGTCCATTTATTACTCTTGGAGATTTCAAAAATATTACTCATATAACAGTAGTCTTTTAGTGAGAATCTAAACATAATTACTAAAAATGCTCCGCAAATGTGATTCAATTAAAATGGACGATTTTCAAACTTCCTAGGATGTTTTTCAAATCAAACTGGACAATATGCTCGAATTTAGGCATAAAAATAATTGTATTTAATTTTGTCCAGTTTGGTTTGAGAAACGTCCTGGGTAGTTTGATAATCTCGTCCTAGCTGGTTTGAATATCGTCCTGTATAATTTGAGGCATGTCCAGTTTAATTTGAAAAACGTCCTAGCTGGTTTTGAATATCGTCCTGTTTAATTTGAAAAACGTCCTAGATGGTTTGAAAATAGTCCAGTTTGGTTTGAAAAGTGTTTAACGGTATATAAAACTTCACTAGAATCCCTATGATTAGTAGACATGTAGTCAAGATATAGAAAAGCAGGACGTCATATAACACCGTACTATTGTTTTCTTGATAATATGATAAAACTTGCCTTTATATGGTCACCCAGTATGTTACACAATTAAGCGGCGTTATCTGCGGACACAACTTTGGACGGTAATTGCTCACAGTTTGAAATCGACGCCGCCAAACACTTCAGAAACCAACATGGATGACGTCGTCTGCTGCCTTGAAGCCAGCCAGCATTCTCTCCCCTTGATAAGTTCTCATGGGATCAGTAATTAGAACATGCACTGATTGACTTCATGTATCGGGGGAATGAAGTAAAAGCTACAAGATATTCTTTTTTTTTTATTGTCTATTCAATTGTGAGATTTGTCATCTTTTACATAGTTTGTAGACTGAAAAATTCTCTTTACCAGAAGAGTGGAACGTTGTTGTGCAATAAACATAAGAAGAGCTACTTGGTCTCGAGGCATGGTGTTAGAGGTCCCGGGTTTAAGCTCCCTTGAGGGCTGGGATCTTTTCACGTGGATTTCTAGTAATTTTCCCATAGTCTTTGGGTAGTAAGATCAGATGCCCGTGTGTATTGTTGCGCACATAAAAATTCCCTTGGCAGTTAGAAATCAAATAAGATATTTCAGGATTCTGGCCGGGGCAA